GTCAGAGGAGCTAAAGGAGCTTTAAGATCTGACTTCCAGATACCTTAAAATCATGGGCATTTATAGAACAAAATCATGAATGGGGGTCCAGGGAGTCTTGTAGGAAGCTGATTGGTTCAGGGTGAAGTCAGCATAACTATTCCTGGCATGTTAACTGATATTTTTTGTAGTGCCTTAGGGTCCAGGGCGTATATGCTTGTAGGGTGTGCAGGCTTGTAGATGCAGGTGGCTTGCAAAGACAACTCAAGATTGGCATTACAGATGTTATCTTGAGACATAAGGCATTCTTTTGAGGAAAATATATCCTGACCTTCAAATCAAGTTTTAGCCTAAGGAAAGCATGTGTTTAACTAACTTTATTCTTTTCTTATTGTTAACCCTACTGTATTGCTACTCTGAGGAATCCAGCCCATCCTGCTTGGTCAATCAGTTTTTTGGGTTTTTTTTTTTTTTTTTTTTTTTTTTGCTATTTCCCCCCTCTCCCAGCCAAGGCCTGTTCTGACAGTGGTTAGGGCAATAGCTAGGGAGTCTGTCTCTCAGTTTCACACCTATATATTACATAACCTTTAGCTTTTTTAGACATCACTAAAAATGGTGTCACCTTCAGTCTTCATCTTTTCATCTTAAACAGAACTGATTCTTTTAGGGTCATTTGAACCACTCCCAAAATATGAGTGTGTTTGCATTTTACAGATTTAGAAACTCAGGCATAGTTGCTAATTATTTATCCCCATCTATGAGCAGCAAAGGAGCTTTTAAAACCCCAGCACAAAGTCTGAGTCATTGTGAACTTGGTCATACTGTTCAGTTTATGGAATTGTAGGAAGGCCTTCAGAGAGAAAGAACAAAGGAGTCAAAGAACTGAGGCAGCCAAGAATTTCTTGCAGAGAAACTGTAAATGGCTTGCAAGGCAGGTGAAAAATGTGAGAGGACTTTATAGGGGGTGCTTCAGGAAGAAGGACCTTCCATCCCTTGGGGACTGATATGGATTGAGTTGTGTCCTCCAAGTTTATGTATTAGAAGCTTGATCCCCACTGTGACTGTTAAGAATGTGGGAAATCCTATTATGGTAATTGAAAGGTGGGGCCTTGAAGAGAAGATTAGATTCTGAGGACCATGCCCTAACGAATGGATTAATAATGGTGCTCATGGGCATGGTTCTAAGGGCTTTAAAAGGAGAGCACATGAGAGTTGCTATCTCTCTGCTCTGCCATTCTGCCATGTGAGAACCATGCATCACTGTTGCCACCAATAAGGCCTTACCAGATGTGTCCCCTGGACTTTGGACTTCCCAGCCTCTGAAACTATAAGCAATAAATTTTTTCTTTATAAATCACCCAGTTCCAGGTACTTTGTTATAAGCGACAGAAACGGACTAATACAGGGACTGATCATTACTGCCTCTAAGAGGAGTCCCATAGCAATTCTGTATTGGGGGTGCAGCATCTATCATTTGGTACCAGTAAAACTTTAATAAATATACAACAGCTGTCTCTATGTAAAAGGACTTATGCTATGTGCTGTCCAAGTTTTAAAATAAGTTGTCTGGCTAAAAGCACCCAGTGTTCAAGTATGATATACTTTTTTCCTTTAGTAAAATATTTCTAATTCCTTGAATAATGGCTCTCAGTATTTCCAGAGGCTTTGCTCAAGCAGTCTTTCCACTTCTTGATGTGGCAAAAAAAAGGAGTGGAAATTTTCATACTAAAGGTTGCCTTTTTTGAGAAGTGTCCCTCTTCCCTAGCTCCTCAGTTGTCATTTATTACAAAACTATGTGGGACCAAGGGAAGACAACCCGTTCAACTCCCTGAAGGTTCTCTGAAAAAGCATCTGATAAGCACAAATTAATATGAAGAAAAGGTAAAACAAGTTTTGTTATATCATAGTTTTACATGACATGAGAGCCTTCAGAGTGAAGACCCAAAGATATATGGAGAATGGTCCATATTTATGCTAAGGTTCTAGGAAGCGGACACAGCTATGTAGAAATGCGATTGGACAAGAAAAATATGGTCTGATGCTGATAGACTCAGCGGAGAAGCCCAGCAAGCCCTGTCTCCAGATTCTTCTTGGCTTCTCTGTGTAGCATGCATTTCTCCAGGTTATGGGGCAGGACCCTTCCTGAAATGGGGGTCTTATGACCTACAATCAAACAATGTAGGTCAGAAAATTTCTTTATGGCCAGCTCCAAGACAGAAAGGCAGGAGGTGAAGATTAGAGTATATCTATGACTCAACTTGGGGAAGAGTGATGCTAGTTTCTGTGGCTTGCCTCAGGGGAGATTGAGGAGAAGGTCAAAGGAAAACTTTGCTTCTGAGGCTGCTTTTTTTTTTTT